ATTATCAACGTTATCAATGTTATTTTCTGAGATCTCACAATGTTAAAGAAAGTTTAAAAAAATCTGGAAGGTAGGAAATAAATCCACACCTTGGAAAAACTAAGATTGATTGTAAAGTTTTGTTCTCTCTGTACGCCTCAACTTCCAGTTCCAGTACAAAAACTGCCCCCCTCAACATCAACAAGGTCTCCAGCAGCCTGCTGAGCTTTGGCAGGAAGCTGATTGCTCCGGCCATATTGGGTGGGTCCGGCGGGATCTCGCCAATCAACAGCGAAGTACACTCCTCCTCTTCCTCCTCCTCATCTACTTCCCCCGCCTCGGCCCCTGCACCCGTCCTGCCTCACCCACTCGCCGAGCCGCCGTCAGCACACGCTCCGACGCAGACCCAGAGCCACGTCCAGAATCAGCACTATCGCCTGCTCAAGTCAGAGAGCATGCCCGTCCAACTCAGCAAAGGTGAGTGACTGGACGCGCCAGGATCTTATTTCAGGACAGCTTTCGAGGAAGCAGCTACTCATCTGCTCAGTCTGGTTTGCTGTTGTTTATCTGGTGAATAAGCTGCATGTTCACATTAACTCCATTGCAGTTGAGCTGAATATCAGTTAATAAAAGGACTGCACGATTAATCATCATTTTCATTCACGATCTCGATTCACACCCCTCTTCAATCTTTATTTTATATGACAACCATTCTGCTAAGTTTGCATTGGCAGGGAGATCCGCTCCTCTACCTGTTACACCATATGATGATCTATTGCTCACAAATTGATCTAGAATCTGATTTGAAAAAACAAAATCGTAATTCACATATTATTCGTATTGTGCAGCTCTGGTCGGTCATTGGTTTGTTTGGCTTTGGCATCATCAGCCTCTCCTGTGTGTTAGATGCAGTTTCAGGTGAAGCGTCTCAGGTCTCCCTCCCAGCCCCGACTCACACTGACACACAAGGTAACTGCTGCCACGGCAACCGCTTGTGTGATTCACCAACCGCGTCCTCCGCCATTCGCTTGCGCTTGTTGCACGTCTGCATGGAAAGTTTGTCGTTGTTTGGTCAGCTGTTGTTGCTGCTGCTTTGTACAGTATTAGAGTAAATGAATATAGCATGTGATACTGAAGGGTGACCAGCAGAGGGAGATCACAGCTTGCCTCAACAGTGGAAATGAAGCCGATGGCACAGACACATCATGGACTTTTATGTCTTCGGCCTTTATTGCTTTTAAACTTGTGATCAGGCACCTATGTGCTTTGTTTTGAAAGTGGAAAAGGTTGCTGATGTCGTCTGTCACATCGTTTGCAAGTTTCCACGTGTCCTTTTAATTACACAGAAACTCAAACACAGATTTTTTTTTTATCCTGTGCTTTGCCAATGGAATCCAGAATAATTATAGACCAGTAGTCTTTTAGTATAATTAGTTAATACATTAATAAATGGAAAATGGTATCAGATATTTGCATTTGCATGATGAGGACTAATTCAAAAATCAGCAGTGGCCAATCAGAGCTGCTGCTGCTGCTGCTCCATGGGTTTGACATAATTGAATCATCAGGTGACATAGTACTTACACATCTTTGCACTAGTTAAATGGAAATTCTAAAAGTCATTTAGTATTCCGTTTTAAAATAAATATATTCATCATTTGAGAGTAATTCATTTTCAATTTTAATTATCTATTTAATTAAACAATTTTTTAATTTGGATTAAAAACTTTAAAAGTCTATATATTATGCCTCCAGGCTTCACATTCTTCTTGAACTCTTCCACTCTTTAATTTCAATTATTGGATATTAAAATGCTTTAGCTATAATATCAGTATTTCTTTAAACCAGTTTACCTCTTCCTCCTCTCTCTCTCAGGGCAAAGCTCCAGGACAGTCAGCTCCTCTCCGAGCATAGAAAGTCTCACTGGTGGGCGGGCTCAGTCCACCGCCTCTCCGCCCCTTCCTCCCTCCAGAGGCAGTGACGTCAGCACTTCCTCACCTCCACTTTCTGCCACCAAGAAAGACTCTTTCTTCCACATCACCCGCTCTCGCTCCCACAGCAAGACCATTGGCAAGAAGGAGTCGGTGAGCTGTTCGCTTTGTCAGACCCGTCGTTTTTTACTCGGCCTGTCAGAGTTGTGTGTCATCTTCCTCTCTCTGTCACTAAGCCCTTTTTGTCCCTCTCTAATCTGTTGTGTTTGTGTACTTAAGTGTGTACTTGTGTGTATTATCAATAGGAGGATGATCTGGAAGCCCAGGTATCTTTCCTCCAGGGACAGATCAACGACCTGGAAGCCATGAGCAAATACTGTGCCAAGATGATGAACGCACACATCTGTGAGTTTAGCTGTAGATCTGCTGCAATTATTAATCATAGTAATCTTTCATTTTGCTTCCCTGTTGGGAATCTTTTAATTTGATCCGTTGATTACAGACAGTTTAAGATACAATATACGTGTTGCATTCCATCGTATTGCTAAGTGGGCATAATGTTGGACATAGATTTTCAGACTCCAAATTGTTCAGATTATAAATTCATCCGAATCTGAAGAATCACGTAGATGATGTCATAGCTCATTAACTATATGTCCACAGGTAAAATCCAGGAAGTGATTCTGCAAGAAAACCTGGAGAAAGAGGATGAGGTCCTGGTGTCACTAGCTGGTCTCAAACAGGTCAGTCCAATCTATGTGTGGGTACGGACAATGAGCATTAACGTTTGGTCTTAACGCTTGTAACACTTTCTGCTTTGTGCGTTGATCCTGTCAGATCAAAGACATTCTGAAGGGGGCGTTGCGCTTCAACCAAAGTCAGCTGGAGGCGGAGGAAAACGAGGAGATCACGATTGCCGATGATCACTACACCTCCACTGCAGCTGCTGAAACCGCTCTAGCTGCCATCAATCACCATGGCGACCGCCAACAGAAAGTTAGCAGCAGGCAGAGCCGGGACTCTGATCTGGAAGGCAGTGCGAGCACGGATGAGAAAGAGGAGCAGGAGGAGCAGGCCGTGACTCCACCTGAGCAACAGGTTAATAGTTGATCAGTCATCTTCAAAGCTTTCAAGTTAAGAGCCCCACACTTATTTTAGCTGTGTTACTATTAACTACATAACACTCAGTGTTTAAAGATTAGTTTGGGTTTTTCTAATTGTCTGAAGTTTTTGATTCAGTATTTAATACTTCTTTAAAATCTGATCTGATTGAATTTTTATGAAACATTTTTCCAATGGGCCAAATTTTGTATCACATGGTCTAATTCTGCAAAGAATACAGAATCACATCCTCCCTGATGTCAGATTTTTTTTTTTTTACCTTTGGATACTTTGTGCTTGAAGACTAAACAAGCAGCAGAGAGCAATTATGCAGCTTTTACTCATGCACACAATTTTTAACTTACGAGCAGGTGGCGTCTTTCCCCGGCTCAGAGGGTAAAAACTGGGACGACTATATCCTCGTGTCCCAGGATGGGGACCTGCAGGCTCCTGAGGGGGGAGGAGCAGAAGGAGGAAGAGCCGCAGCTGAGCAGACCCCTCCGATCAGGCGAGGGCGCGGCCTGGTACGTATGGAACCCGAGGGCGCAGCTGGGACCTTCCACGACCCGCTGATGGCCGGCATCACCTCAGGCTCCTCGAGCCCGGACGAGGGCTCCACCCACAGCAAGGACTCTGACTTCACCATCGTCAACCCGAACGACCTGTGAACAAGCAAATCCCGCCTCTCTTCCTCCTCTTTTTCTTCCTCTTCTTATTCCTGTATCATTTCCCCCTTTGAGGATGTGATCAAAGAAAACTGACTCTGGGTCAGAGAGGGGAATCTTGCAGTTTTGGGTGGATCACCACTGGAGCTGCGGTCAGCTAGAATATTGCACATGTGGACTGTGACACTTTAAGTCAAATACCTTATACTCTGTCTCTTTAACTGTCATCTGTGCCACTTCAGTCCTGTCTGAGCTAATGCTATGTTGATGCGATCTGCCTAATGCCCATCTCCTCATTCATTGTGTCCTGTCACTCATTTCATTGTAGTGCCCTGCTCCACAGAGAGAGGGAGCCACTGTTCTGCTTTTAACCGTGTCACTACATGATTACTCTGAAAAGCTGGACCTGAAACTGCAGTTTACTGTTAGGGAAGGACACTCTTCCCCTGAGCCTGCTGTACTGATAGAGTGTGATACTCTGTTTCTTCTCAATGTGGAGATCTGGCCTGTCTGTGTTTTTATGTTTGTCTACGTCCTCACAGAGGAAGCGCTCTCCTCTGACTCTGAAAACAACAGGATAACGTTTTCCTGTCAGTCGTCGAGAGCAGCTTTCTCCCCCTCCCAAACCAGTGCCTATGACCATTAATCTTCTCTCAACCAAACAAAACCTGACTCTGTGATCTTCTTCTTTTTTTGTTCGATTTTTTAAAAGAATATTTTTAACCCTTAAACATTTGGTTTCCTGGATAAAATGATTAAATTATGGAATACATCTGTTTTCCCCCCTTTTTGTTTTTAAAATCGATCCCAATGTGGACATTTTAATGTGGAAACTGACACTTCTCATTTCTCACATTACAACTAAGTTGTTCATCGTGGAAACCATGTAAAGCAGCGCACACAAAGAATGTCCCTCTAGCTGCTCGTTCAGCATAATTAACTCTAGACGAATAAAATGACATTGCTCTTGCTACACACTGAAGTTAACACGTTTGTTTGGGGAATGCTTTGCCTGCTTACGAGAGAATGACGCAAACCTTTATGTGTAAGCATCCAGGCTGAACAGTTGGTTTACGACCATGTTTCATCAATACTCACATTATTGTTTTACTTTCTCACGAGAAACTGCAAAGAAAAGCTCAACACAAGATACAAAGCTGGTGACGAGCTTTCATGAATGTCACAGTTATTGTACCGCACCAGATATATGAGGAGTGTGGATAAACCTCACTTGTTTGCCTCTCGGTGATAGTGATGCTTTGGGTTTAATGCTAATATAAGCATGCTAACATCACTCACTTCACTTTTATTGTCATAGTTAACATTTGTTAATTAGTACCAAACCCAAAGGCTGTTGGAAGCGTCATTTGTTTTACAGGTAATTCTCCATAAACCCCAAATTAATATTTCGAGTTATAGTTTATCCTGACGGTGACACAAATATCTGCCAAATGATTGAAAGTTGTCCGATAGGTGTAGACGCTCCAAACCACAAAAATAACCCTGTGAATGCACAAATCTTCTAAGCAGTTCTTTCAATGGTTATTAAGAAATTTCAGTCTGGATCAAAGTGATGTTCCGAACACTGAAACCGTTTAATCTCATCTCTGCCAAGGAGGATATGTTTTCACCTCTACGTTGCTTGGTTGGTTGGATGGTTTGTTTGTTTGTGAGCAAGATTACGTAAAAAGTATTATAGTAGGAGGATCAAAATAAAAATCTGGCTCTAGTTTATCAATGTGAACATTTACAATTTCATGACAAAGTGGCAAACCCCTGCTGATGGAGACGATGTGATAAAATCAAAAGTTCAATAAGATATGTATTCTGGGATCATATGTCACAAAAAAGATCCAAATAATTCTCATGTCTGTTGGTCGAGATTGTGTCTTTAATCATCTGTCAACTCTATTGAGCAGGGAAGCTTTCAATGGAGGCTTACTGGAGCTTTTATCTGCAGCACCATAGGTTTAATTTCCCATACACAGCAGATGAGTGTCCCCAGCTGTCATCTCAATGCAGGCCTCGTGACATGTGTCCGTATGAATGAATGCCCATCAGCGTGAAGCTCTTGCAGCAGAAACAGTAACACACACATTATGTCATTTAAAAACTAGTTTATTTCTAATATCTCCATCCTGACTGAAGAGGAAGGCGATCACCACAGCTGAACACGTTGAGCATCATCTTCTGCACCGATAACTTCTTTACTGGAATGTTTTCATTTAGCATCAATAACTTATGGTAAACTATGCTCCACAGCAAAAAATGAAAGAATATTACATAATAAAATACTGTACAGTGTTTTGCAAACAAATGAAGCACTTGGCAACAAAACAGCATTTTGTGTTCCCTAGAGGCATTTACATTTAGTTATGGAGATGTGGCAGGTAACATTTTTATTTTCTTATATTTACCAGGATCGCTTCAGGAAAATAGAAAAATATAGAATACTGTATGGAAGATGATATTTAAAGGGTGAAGTGGAGGATTTTTCTGGCAGGACAGAAAGGATGAGAGACATACAGGGGCTGCACTTGTCCGAGAGCTGCAATATTAAAACATCCTCCTTATCCTGATATTGCTGGAGACTGTAGCAGCTTAGTGAAATGAGGTTCAGCTCAAAGAGTTAGAATATTGTGAAAAAGTATTTTCATCAGGTATTTAAGAAAGTGAAAATTTTACATATTCTGAAAATAAAGTGAAAATAAATGATTCCCCTTTTTGCTGGTGGTCACTAGACCCGACTTTGAGAACTCCTGGCCAAAACTCATTAAACAAAAATTTTAATTTCAAAAATTACAGCCTACAACTAAAAATAAACATATCCCAAATTATAACAATATTTCAATTTGAGTGAGAGTACATTACTATTATATATATACAGTATAAATACTGTGTATCTCTCGGTGTAGTTAAGTTCACAGAACCACAATCATGGGAAACGGAAATGATCATTGATAGGGAGGAAAAGCTACAGGAGGTCATCGCTGGCTGTTCACAGAGAGCTGTATCAATGCAAGTTCATGGAAAGTTGGCTGGAAGGGGAAATGTGCTCAAGCAACAGGGATGACTGCAGCCTTGACAAGATTTTCAAGTTGAATCAAGAACTTGGGAGAGCCTCACAAGGAGCCTCATGGCTCTTCACACACAGACGTCTTCAGGAAACTGTTGCGTTCCTCTGATGGTTTTAGAACGTAAGACAAGATGGCGAACGTCCCTTATGTGTTTGAAGGTCTTCCCGCATTAGCTTGATGTTAAGTTCCAACCACCAGCAGACGTAAGCAACCACGATGTTTTTGACATCTTCAGTTCTGTACCTTATTGGTTTTTTAACCACAAGACACCGTCTGATAAGGAAGGCCCCCCACAGGCTGATCAGACAACGGATGTTGCACCCTGCAGTCTACCTCCACTGGGCTGACTATTGCTTTCAGCCATGCTGTGGTGCTTCAGCTGTCATCTCTGCAACTCAGAGCCTCTTCCTCTCATTCCTGATCAAGAGACAACAGAACAAGCATCTTACCTGGGCCAAGGAAAAAGAACTAGTCTGCTGCTCAGTGGTCCAAAGTCCACTTTTCAGATGCAGTAATTCCTTTTTTGATGATCTTTGGAAATATTTGAATATTTTTCAAATGCTGGATGCTGTGATAATCAAAATTAAAACAAAGTAAGGCTTGAATATATGAAAGGTTTTCTATTCAAATTATATTTTTAAAAAATTACTTTTTCGCGATACTCTGGAGATATTCTTTGAGTTGCATCTGCACGAGCTGCCAACATTTGGAGGAGGCCGTTCTTCAAAAGGTTTTCCTAACATCTTCTGGCTCTTATTTCTACGTCTCGAATCTCAGAAACATTGCACATTAGAAGAGGATAATAATAATTTGGTGTATTTACAGTTTCATACAGTACTAACAGCTGAACCTTGGCTTTAAATCAAAATACATTCAACTCCTTCATTGTCATTCATCTTCCCGCCTCCTTACAGCGGCCTCTGACGTCTACAGCGACAGAAGCGTAGACAGCGTTTTTGAAGTATTACATTCATCAACTTGTCTGTTCCTTCTTTTTAAAAACAGGGTACTTGCTATTTAATCCCCGCAAAATGATAAATCCGAGACATTTGAAGGCTTTGTCACAGCAGCTACAGCTAAGGTGTGGTCATGTATCCTCTCTCCGTCACTTGCTATGCCGAGGCTCCTCCAGTACTTGTGGTGGCTTTGTCCTCCTGGCCTCTTCGCGTTTGGGACCGGACCCTCGTCACCCCCTGACTCTCTTTGCTAAGGTTTCCGGTCAGAGCCGCGTCGTGGACCTGCTTCGTGTTCTCCTGGACTTCAGCCTTGGCCCGCTTCAGCAGGTCGGCCTGGCCCTGGGTGTGAGAAGGGAGAGGAAAAGGGGAGATCAGGAGGGAGGACACAATGAAGCAGGGAGCGACGGGGACAAAGGGTTGAAGTGGAGGGAGGGAGGTTGAAAGAGCAAAGAGATGAGCAAAACAGCTTCAGGCAAAAACAAGTTGTAATGGTCTAACTCCTGAGGCTGTTTGGGTTTATATGAGTGAGTATATGAGCGTGTGTGTGTGTGTGTTGCTGACCTTAAGGATGGTGATGTTCCAGCTGAAACTTTCCAGCGCTCGGGTGACCTTGCAACCTTTCAGCCCCTCCTTCACTGCCAGGCTCTGCAGCTTCTCGTGAAACTCCATCGCTAGAGTCGAACATGCACACACACACACACACACACACACACACACAGAAGTCGGATTTACTTTATTCTTACTTTCACCTTAACCAGAGTAACTACTTGTCTAAACCTAACCCTTACCCTAGACTTAGCAATAACATAACCTTAACCTTTACCTTTACCTAAACCCAACCTTAAAACATGTCTTGTATGTAATGATTCACGTTTGTGTGTGTGTGTGTGTGTGTGTGTGTGTGTGTGTGTGTGTGTGTG